TTGTGATACTGGTTCCTGTGTTCCAGGGGTGACCATGACAGTGTGCAATGGCCTGCCCCAGCTGACTGTGCCACTGCCCTCTCGCCGTGACCTGTGCAGGTTCACCCTGAGGCCTGTGACCCACACAGTGCAGGATTTGATCAACCAGCTCACCCACGAAGACCATGGGATTGATCGCATTGTGCTCAGAACCACAGGTACTTGACCTTGCTTCTTCATATTTGATATATTTTTGGTGTGAAAACATGTCAGAAGATGTCTTTCATGAAAATGACTACTCTTAAGATTGTATGTAATCCACATTAACTGCCATGAAGCTAATTAGTGTATGGCCAATATATCTTGAGTTAAGATTGATAGTTCTTAAACACTTAGTATGTATCTTGTGGAAAGTAAAATATTCTGTTATAAATTTACTAACAAAATGTGAATACTTTACATTTTACATGTAGTTCTTTGTATGTTTTATAATACTGTCATCATTTTTTTTATATATATTATTGTTTGTATTTGTTAAAGTAATTTAAATACCTAAGTAGATATTTCATTTCTAGACATTTCCTCTTTTTAATGCTGCAGGTGGAGTGAGAATCTCCTCTTCTGATAGCATCGAATCCCTGCTAATGAGTGACTTTGAACTTGTTATCAACGACACATCATATCGAGTCGAAGTTCCCACTGGTCAGAAACTTACACTGGTAAGTCCTTAGGTAATAGAAGCAAACAAGCACGCAAGCAAAAAATAGAGCATCGCAGAATTTTAGAATGACATGGATAAGAAATGAGATCCTGAGCTTTATTTGCATCCAAGACATAAAAGTTATATCAGGTATACCAGTGTGAAAGCAAAATGAATTAGAATTTTTATATTTTTTACAGTACGATGAAATAAGGTCAGGTAATGTATTTCAGCAGTACTGTAACTCAAAAAATGAAACTCTTTACCCTTACTGTGCAGATGAATAGGCTAGAAGGTAATGAAATTTAGATTTTTGTTTGGACAGTTCAGTAAATTGTTTTATTTTTCCAAGAGAAAGGCTTAGTTTGAGATTCTTCCTAATTTTAAACCTGTTCATTTTATGTGTGAAATTTGTTTAGTTTATTAAGCACCTTTTAAAGTTGATCTAGTCTTCAGATTCTTTCATGATTTTAACCCAAAGAATATGTACTTATTAACCAGTTTATATTTTTGTAAGTTAACATTAGGTGGAGTATGAAAGATGACTTTATTTTTCTCCTGGTTTAGGATATGTATGTAGCAAGAACAAAAAAAAATAAAATCATAATGGTACTCATGCCTTTTGGAGCTTTTTTATCTACATATCTAAACTACACATTATTTCTGAGAATTTTGTGTGTGTGCGTGTGCGTGTTTTTACATATAAGTGTAAATGTAGCTGTAAATTTTGGAGTGTAAGTGCACTTGCATGTGCATTTATATGCGTGTTTTGTTACTGATACTATATTAATGTTCTAAATTATTAACTTGCATTCAAGATGGAAACCCATACCATCTTACAGGAAGAGATAAGTGATATGGGAGATGTTCGTCAGCTAGTGAATAAGCTCTACATGGCCCTCAACATCGACCAGCATCAAGTGATGAAGGAGCGTGACATTGTTGCTCAGATTGAGGAACTGAAAGCTCAGCTGGCACCATTGGAGAAGGTCAGAAAAGATTAATTTTATATAGATAGGTTAAACTTAAATGCTGAGTGTAATAAGTCAGATTTTGACAGCTAAAAGCCTTTTTTCTGTTAGTTGTTTATAAAATTCATTATTCTCTCAGTATGTTTCAGTCTGATTTAGAACTGAAACAATGGTCTATTACAGTTCTCATGTTTATTTTTTCAGTGTCCAATTCTTGCTACATCTTGTGGAACATTACAAATATGAAATATATGAATTACAACTTGCCAGTTTAATGTAGAGATCAAGCTTTACTCTACTCACTTATGTCATTCAATACTGAGAGCCATGATATGCTTAGAAAGTTCTTATGAGAGAAGTGTTATAATTTAGAAATATAGCTATTTTACTGAAGATATTAGATGGAAATAAACTACTATGCTCTTGTCAAATTAACTAATCTCTCTTGTGTGTTGCTATTAATGAATGGAATATGTTTTATGCATTGTAAGAAAATACATGTAATTAAAATATTAGTGTGTGTTATTGGATCTGGGTGATATCATGTCATATCATGTCATGAGAAGGTTTAGCTGTGGCCGAGTGACAGGAATATGCTTTCATGAGAATATTTGGCTGAGGGCCAAGTGACAAGAATATACCATCATGTAAGTGTTGGGCTGATAGGAATGACACATCTCAAGTGTATAAAGCTGTTGGATGAAGATTAGACTCATTGGGCATTTAGAAAGGAACTCTTGCATTATTTCCCCTTTTAAACAAGTATGGAATGTACCATCCATGAGCCAAGGGTGGAAGAGCACTGGCTCCATAGAGGACACTATTTCCATGTGCAGGATCCTATTCCTAC